ATTTTATGTAGTCAATCCAAGGGCTTTCATGATTCTTCCAATACTTTTGTCTACAGTCCCTTCTCATTTAGAGATTGATAGATTTATTCACCTATATTTCCTTCTAGAAATCTGTTGAAGTTCTTTTCAGTGGCTTTGTTTTTGTATTTAACAGTCCAAATCTTACATGTATGATGAGTTTCCAAATTCATTTTTTTTTCCCTCAGATCCTTAATTTGTCCCAGCTCTATTTGCTGAATGAAATCCTTTCAGTCTTCTCAGTGATTTGTGATGCCCCATGAGTTTTGTTGTTCTTGTTTCTTGGTATTGGGATGGAAGTGCTTAACCTCTGAGCCACATCCCCAGCCCTTTTAATTTTTTTTAATTTTATTTTGAGACAGGGTCTTGCTATGTTGCTTAGGGCCTCACTAAATTGCTGAGGTGGGCTTTGAACTTGTGATCCTCCTGCCTCAGCTTCCCAAGCTGCTGGGATTACAGGTGTGCACCATTTAATCTTATACATGAAGAAAAGCCATTTTCCTTAAAGGGATCTTCTTTACATAATTTAATCTTTCTAGGTTTCGTTATTTGAAATATAAAATGAGGCTATATTGTAATTAATTCACATAATCAACAGATATTTATTGAGCATCTTCTGGGGACCAGGTACATATGTAAGATTCCTTCCAGCATTAAAATTCTGAATATAAAGGAACTGTATTTGTTTATTCTCAGGTCAATGGAGGAAATTGTCATAATTTGCTTCACCTATTGGGTTTTTTTTATATGAACACATATAGTATCTTTATTTTTTTATGTGGTACTAAGGATCAAACCCAGTGTCTCACACATGTGAGGCAAGCACTTTACCGCTGAGCTATAGCCCCAGCATCCCTATTCTTATTTTTATGAGAGATTTAAAAATAATAATAAACCAAGAATGCTTGATTAATTTTATTAAATATATTCTTTAGACCCTGTTAAGATTATTTTATCACTTTTTTTTCTTTATGAGTGTTTCATTTTGAAGAACAAATACTATCAACTCAGTGGGATTACATGTAACAGAATTAGTATGAACCCACACAATTCCCACCACATTATATTATATAGCGTATTAAAAGTTCATGTCTATGTTATATAGACACATCATATATGTATATAATATATGTATTAAGAAAGTATCTGTACATTACTATAACATATTTTAAAACATATCAAATTTAAACTTGTTTTATTATAATACAATATTTTGCATTCACTCTACCTTGGTCATATCCAGAGTTGTGTGGAACACCTGCATGCTCATTCTGTCTTGTTTTCTTTTGTGTCTCACTATGTTGCCCAGGCTGACCCTGAACTTCTGGGTTTCAGTGATTCTCCCACCTCAGCCCCCAGAATATGCACACTCCTTTCTGTCAGTCATAAAGGATCACAAGTCATGTGTTTGAGTTTGAATATACTCAGTTCAAAATGCCCTCTAAAGAATTTTAAAACTAGTGGGATAAAGTTCAATAATGGCAAAAGCACACACGTATGTGTGTGTGCGCACATGCACACACACACAAACACACAGAGGAAAAAACAAGTTATTCAGCTCTGCCTGACCTTGGGTGAGTTATGTAGTCTCTTTGGGACTCAGTTTCCTCATACTAAAATGACAGGGTTGGGCTAGCTGATCATCAAGCCTCTTCCTGCCCTGACATTTAGTGACAGGGCTGGCCCTGTGGGGAGTATCAGGTTATGGGAGAGGCAGATCTGTGTCAGTCAGCAGGGCATCTCTGTTATTAGAAAACCAAGCAGAGAGCAGTCCTAGTCCAGATGAGCAGGAGGACAGTGTGCACTACAATAAATCCTAGCATCTCTGGGGGCAACGCTGGCACCAGTCATAGCAATGGAACATGAAGGCTTTGGAAATCTTTAGAAGGGATCAGAGGAAGACAGCATAGGATTAAAGTGCTGGAAAATGGGTCTTCTGAGAAATGTTAAAGAAATAGAATTCCTTAAGCTAGAGACGGTCACATGAAGATGGATCTAGCTTTGAGTTCCTAGCGTTTGAGCAACTGTTTTGTAGGAATCCTGGCAGTCTTAGGCAAAGCTCTTTTTGTTGCAAGGAACAGAGACCTACTCAAGCTAAGGCCCAGAAATCCACAAGTGTAAGTGAAACTCGTGGGAACAGACGAACTGTAGGGAACTCAGACATATCTCTCAGGGGCTTTGTGTACTAAGTGTCCATCCTGCCTTGTCCCCCCTCTCACCTCTACCCCCACCCCTGCCAAATCTGTGCTCCACTCTGGCACTTCTTACTTCTGGCTTCCACTTCACCATAAGGTCCACTTCCAGATGGACAGACAATACGGCCCTCACTCCATACCCCACACACAATTTCTTAGCTGCAATGACCATGGCCAACTGAACCAGTCCCTTTTCAATTCTAGATTCCCCTGAGAGGATTTATTTACCCTAGCTGATCTTTTTGTAGCAAGCTGGCTAGCTAATAGATGGGTCACCGTCAGGTCAAGGCCATCCTGGGCAGGTCATATGTGAAGATGGGATGTGGGCAGGTGCTATAGGACATGGCTGGGTGGGGCATGACAACAGGTCAGACCAGCATGTGGGAATTCTGGCCTGATGAACACCTTCAGCAAAGGGGCCAATGTCTTAACCCCATACTGTCTGAGAACAAAATAAGTCTGATCCTATGCTTTTATATGGGAGCTTTTAAACACTCCTCTTTTTTTTTTAAATATTTTTTAATTGTAGTTGGATACAATACCTTTATTTATTTATTTATTTTTATGTGGTACTGAGGATCGAACCCAAGGCCTCACACATCCTAAGCGAGCCCTCTGCCGCTGAGACACAACTCCAGCCCTAACACTCCTCTTTTTAAAGCTTAATTTCTCCATCAGAAATGTCTGATCTTTGCCAATTGGAGATCAGCTGGTTGAAGGCTTTATAAAGCACCAATTAACCATGGAAAAAGTTTCACCACTTTCCAGAAGATACCAAAAACAATCCAAAGATCTCTGGACCTTCCTGGGCTGGCTTGACCTATTTTTATCCATTTCAAATATCCAGTTTCTACTTGCTTCATTAAACCAACTTGCAGTCCAGTATCTTTGAGTAAACATTCTCCTGTTCTTTGGTGCTGCATCTGAATTCCCATCACCTTCCAGGACAAAGAAAATGAGACATTCGTGAACCAGTGGGCAAGATTCTTGTTTGGAGGTTTTTTTTTTTTTTTTTTTTTTTTTTTTTTTTTTCCTGCACTGGGTTGATCATACTACCAGCCTCAAATATAGACAGGCAAAAAATTCAATGACTTCAAATGCAAGGGCCTTGAAAACACAGACTTTAAATTAGAGTTAGGCTTCCTCTATCCAAAACACACCTACTCAGACACCTCACTATCTAAAATCAGACCAGAACCTAGGCATGAGCCAAGAGATGTTTAAGCAGCCAAAATTATCTAGATAGGCCCATATTGGTATATTTAAAGTAGCATATAATTCAAAGCAACTGTGTTCCCCAGAGGGCTGGATGGCCTGTTATTCCTTAAGAGAGACTGGATGAGTCCTACGGGAACAGCAAAGGCTACGTTCCTTGCTCGTAATCTGTTTACTTTTTGTTTACACAGAATCTCAACAAGTTTGCATATCTGGTTCTCAACCCAGATCAGACTAAAAGACGCAAATTATACAAAAAAGAAGATGGGTCATGAGGTTGCTACAGGTAAAATAGCATTCTTCCTGACAACTGGGAAAAGTAACTAGTGGCCATAAGAAAAGAGATGAAATGATAAGAAGGAGACCCACAAAGCCCACAAATGCAGCAATACAATGTCTCTCAAAGGTTTTGAAACTGGAATAACAGCACAATCACTGGTTTAGAATAATGACCCTACACAGAGCAAAGATGTTAAATTAAGATTAGTATGTTTTATTTTGAAACCTGGTGATGTGAACTTTTTCTTAGAAAAACTTCCATCTGAAAGGATTAATTTTTTCAAAATCTTTTATCTATCTATCTATCTATCTATCTATCTATCTATCTATTTATATTGCACTAGGGATTGAACCCCAGGGTGCTCTACCTCTGAGTTATATCCCCAGCCCTTTTTATTTTTTGAGACAATGTCTCCTAAGTTGCCCCAGCTGCCCTGAACTTGAGATCCTCCTGCCTCAGCCTCCTGAGTAGCTGGGATTATAGGTGTATACCTGTAATCTGGTTTAAATGTGTTTAAAAGGATGAACCTTGAGCTAGCTAGAAAGCTCCACCATCCAGAAGGTCTGGAATTGTACTTGATAACCAAGGTTTCACCCAAGCTCTGGGTGAACCCTCTAGACTACTTCCTAAAGGACAGTCAAGCCCCTAGTCAGCCCGAGAAGTGCTGTGGCTTTGACTTATATACTATTTGGAATAAACGAACGGGTTTTAAGGAGGTTTTACTGTATTTGGTTTGCAGGCTTCACTTGGCAGCATCTCTTTAAAAAGGCTGCCTGCCTTTGAACTAATCCTCTATTTATAATCCAGCTGGAGAAAGGCCGCGGCAATGTATACACATTCCTAGAATTTACAGAGTGCTGCTCACGTCAGCCCTGCGCCCCCATCCAGAGCCCCTGCCTTGGCCCTCACCTCACCAGAGAGCACCCTGAATCATCTGGGGAATGTCTGGGTGCTGCAGTCCAGAGGCTGCCTGGCATGTCCAGGAAGGCCCCTTCCGCCCTGGGTTGGGGAGCCCACGGGACGGGTGGGGATGGGGCAGTTGCTGGATCAGGCTCAGTAGACACCATCACTCACTCCTGACCCTGCGCTGTGCGGACACCCCACCGACCGTCGGGGGGCTGCGGCCTGACGCTCAGCTTGCCTCCTCGAGCCGTTCCTTTCTTATAACTCACTCCCTCCCGAAAACGACGCCAACTTCACATTTTCCTTTTTTCCCCCTCTCACACAAATTATTGCAAGTCATGGCAGGCTAAATATAGCCCCCAGTCTGTTTTCCAGATGCCGGGGCCTCCAGCCGCCTCAACATTTTCCTGATGTCCTTCCAGCGGCCTCTTTCTCTTGCTTTCCTTTCTCCTCCTGTCTCACCTTTTATATTTTATTTTTTGCTTTCCTGATACGCCTCTATCCCCCGCTTCCCAGGCTCCTCTCATCTTTCCTGCCCTTCCAGCTCAAAGGAAAGTTCTAGAGCAAGGCCAGAAGCCAGACAACCCCCTCTCCAGCCGTCCAGCGCGGTAAAGCTGGAATAAGGACATAAATAACCTAGAAGAGAGGCAAGAGACACTGGGGTCTCCAGGACCCTCAGGAATGAGCTCCCATGGTTCACGCCTAACCCTCTCTTACTTGCTGATCCAGAGTCATTTAACCTCCTTCCTCGTCTCTTTCTTCCTGTTGGGTCCTGGGTGCCAAAGAGTGGCTAGACATTCCCCCCTTTTGACAACTTCTTGGGTTACTGGAAAGTGTCTATTGGGACACGTTTCAAGCCATCACTTTCTTGAGGTTAAATACTGTCAGTTCCTCTTGCCTTTCTTCATCAGACCTTTTTGTCCAGAGTTTAATTGTTTTCATGGGTTCTGTCCATGCCGTGTCCATCATAGGACGGGGAGCCGGGCCTGCAGCCTCTGCACTAATAAGGGCTTGATTCCTGCTGTGTGAGTGTGTTGGAGGATTTCCCTGATACTTCTTCCTCACAGACCCTTCTTAACCTCAACCTGATTAACATTTGGGGACATAATTGTTGGAAAGACTCTCCTGGGCATCTGGGGTGTTTAGCAGCATCCCTGGCCTCCATTCACTAGATGCCAGTAGCACACACACAAGTTATGACAACAGAAAATATCTCCAGACAGGGCCCAATATCCCTAAAGGCAGAGTCACTCCGAGTTGAGAACCACTAGCCCCGTGAGATAGGCAGACTAGCAAACGATTGTTACCATTCAAAGAAGCCCTACAACAGGGGCATAAACACAGGACTGCGCATGAGTCAGAGGGAATTTGAGTTGTTCTGAAGGGTGGATACAAGTTTCCCACAGAGAGACGGCGTTGGAAGGAGGACTTTCCAGACAGAAAGAGAAACATGTGCAAGGGCACTGGGGTGTCACAGAAAAAAACAACAGTTGCCTGGCATGGCAGGTATCTGGGCAGGAACAAGAAATGAGGATGAACTGGGTCTGCCCCCACTTCATAAAGGGCCTTGTGTGACTAGGAAACAGGGAGCTTTTTAAGCTGGGGAGCCTGAGGAACAGATGCATTTTTGGCCTGAAGGAACGGAGAGGAGGGGAAGGCATGGAGGTAACTCAGGAAGATGACCGTGCGCATTGAAGGCAATGGTGCTTGGAAAGGGAACAAAGGGGACAAGACTGGAGAGCTCTTTCTGAGACGGAACAGACAATAGATGTGGGGAAGGAGACAGAATAAAGTTGAAGGTGACCCCGGAGCCTCGGAGTTGATGGGGTCCTGCTGGGCCAGTTTTGGCATGGAGGCCTTTTTCCACCCTGGAAATGTTGTGGATTTCGGGCTGCGTCCACCTCCTCTGGGGAGATGAGGCGCTGGGATGTTTACGTTGGGGAGAGTCTTTCCTCCTTGTTTGCTTTTAGGTCAGGCTCATGGGAGGCATCTGGTGGGCAGAACCCAACCCTTAGGAACTGGGTTCAGGAACTGAATGTCTAGTTTTTCCACCAACCGCCTCTGGCACTCGAGTGCCTGAGCCTCAGTTTATCCATCTGTGATTGAAGAGAAACTCCCACCCCCAACCCGCCAGGATGTGGTGAGTGTGAATAGGGCTGTATCCGTGGGTGGCTCAGACCCCCGTGGGTACTTGGCAGGCAGAGCCTGCAGTTGGCAGGAGCCGGGCGTGGTTGTAATCAGGCCTGATGGGAAGGCCCCGACTCCACCGCGGCCTTGAGCGGCTGCCAGCTCTGTGACCAGGCCTGCTTCAGAACTTGCCTGCAAGTTATTTTTTTTTTTCCAGTGTGTCTGGTTCCTACAAATGGACTTTCTAAAATCTTCTCAGGCTCCAAGAAGCCCCTTGGGCTATGCATCCCCTGTCCTTCATGATCCCCCGGCTCAGTGGGAAACCTGGAGATGATTCCACTCCATTTGGCTCCATGTAGATACTCCCCTTCCTTTCCTCACTGCCTTCCCATTTATTGTGAAAGGAAAGAATAGGAGGCTGGGATGGAGGCTCTGTGGAGAGGCTGGCCTGGCTAGCCAGTCACAATGACCTTGGGCCTGCTAGCTAACTCCTTTCCCCCGTGTTTACCCTGGACAGGCAAGGTGAGTGGATGGCACCCAGAGGCAAATGGTGAGTGCAAGTGTGCGTGTGTGCGCGCACGTGTGTGTGTGTGTGTGTGTGTGTGTGTGTGTGTGTGTGTGTGTTTTACTGCTCCTCACTCCCAGGAGCCTGGCGCTGATGGTGATGTCTCTCTCAACGCAGGAACAAGGGGTTGCATTGTTAGCTTGCCTATCTCTTGGTTTCTGATTCACCCTGGGCCACTGCAGCCTGAGCAGGTTCACAGCTGCTCAGGGATACACTTTCCAGCACATTTAGGACTTGGAACAGCCCCAGGTTTCAGGAACACATGGTGATGGGGGAGGGAGTGGGGCTCAAATAGACTAGGAAGGGGGAAGCAAGCTCCTTCTTTCTTTCTTCAAGATGAATCTCCATTTTCATCATCTGATAGCAGGAACAGCATGTGAGGACGGCGGATGAATTGCAAACCTGTGCAGGTCGGGGGAGAGGGCAGGCAAGTGGGGGGAGATGGGCAGATTTAGTTCATCCTGGCTGAGGTCTCCTTGTGCAGCCTGCTCCCCTCTGACTCGCAGCTCTCGCTCCAGTTACAGCCTCCACCGGGCCCCCCAAGCCAGCCAGGGACGCTCCAGTGTGCCCCGGAAGTCGACCCCTGGAGTGAGTTTCCAATAGCCATGGCCAAGGGGGCGAGGGAGGAACTTTGGACTGTCCCTAAGATCTGGGGAGCTGGGGCTCATGCAGATTCCATCCCACAAAGCAGCGGTGTCCTTCCTCTTTGTTCCTGGTGGCTTTTTAAGGAGGACACAGACATGGAACTTTCCCAGCCTCTGCCATCTCCTCTCTTTCTCTGAGGCAAGTAACTGCCTCACACCTGACAGGAGCCAGGTGACATTGCTGTCTCTTGCCCATATTCCACCTCAGTCATGGACCCCTCCACCTAATCTCTGTTCACCAGGCATGGTCCAGGGGCTGGTTTTAGTTAGAGCAGAATATGGTCCCTGAACCCTGAGACCCCCCACGTTGATGGTGAATCCAAAGGAATGGGTAAGTCTTTAATGCCCGTGTGACGGGAGCTGTTGCAGGACAAAACCTGACCTGAGCACTCTCAGTGGCTCTGAGGGACCTGTGACAGGGACACGTGTCTACAGGCAGCCTTCCCCTCTGTCAGCATCTACCTGGGCAACCTGGAGCAGGCTTCTCTGTGTGCCACAGCCCATCCGTGGGGATGACTGCGGATGTTCACCTGCCTGCTGGGGTGGCTGCAAGATGCAAGGTAAACTGTGTGCACCACCCCAGGGCAACGTAGAAAGCCTGTCTGACTCTCAGATTGCTCTCAATGTGGTGACTGAGGATGGAGGACTGTCCCATAGGAGCCAGGATCAGAACAGGAAGGCTGATGTGCTGCTGGAGCTGGCTGCCCCTTCCGGTCCTGCCTGCCAGGGGCAGTGCTGCACAGAGCTGGCTTCTGTGTGGGGCTCGGAGCAGCTCCCGGCTCCCACCCAAAGCCCCTTTCTCCTGTGCTCTTGCAGAGCTTGCTCACAGGCTCCCATTCAGAGGCTGACTGATTGAAGAGGCGGCTGTGGGTCGGCAGTGTGACCTTTGGGCCCGCCTTGGTGGGTGAGTGAGTTAAGCCCCCAAGGCCCCTCCACCCCAAAGGGACCAGCCAGGCCCTGATTCTGCACAGATCTAGCTAGTAAGGTGCCATATGGCAGGGAGGACGGGGCTGAGGTCCTGGCTTTCAACCCCCATGGGTCACCCACCCCTTCTCTTCAATGTGCTCATTCACAAAGCCAGGCAAATAATCACCCTTCTCTCTTCGTGTGGATTAGAGGAGGGGAGGGGCGGAAGGTGAGTTTACAACTGACTCCATGAGAAAACAGGAGAGATCCTTGGTACAATCCAGTTGCCTTGTTAACAGTTTTTTGGTTTGCTTTTTGTTTTTGGTACAAGGGACTGAACCCAGGGGCACTTAACCACTAAGCCACATCCTCAGCCCTTTTTATTTTTTGAGACAGGGTCTTGCTAAGTTGCTGAGGCCGGCTTAGAACCTGCAAGCTTCCTGCCTCAGCCTCCCGAGCCACTGGGATTATAGACCTGCACCACTGCACCCAGTTGAACAACTTTTTTTTTTTTCAAAGATAGAATGTTCCATAGGGTGCACTGCCCAACTGGACAGTCACTAGCCACAGGTGGCTATTAAGCATTGCAATGTAGCTAGTGTCACTAAAGGATGAAACTTTTAATTACTTAATTTAATTAGGTTTAAATAGCCGCATGTGGCTAGTAGTGACATTTTATTGGACAGTGCAGGTCTAGTGGAGAGAGAATGCTGTGTCTTTGAGGCCACACAAACCCAGGTTCAAAGTGTGACTCTGCAATATATACTTGTTCCTGTGTGGCTGCTTAACATCTTAGGACTCAGTTTCCCCACTATTTAATATACAGTTGAGTAAATAATACTAAGTGAGCCTGGTTGGGGACAGGCTACTGTGCAGCCAGCATCAAAACTAGAGTCCAGGTCACCGGCTCCAAGATGCGCTTACAGCCAATCCTCCTTCCCTGCCTCAGCCAGTGTGAGGGTGCAGGCTGCCGAGACAGGAAGGAGGATATAGGTCCAGACTTCTTCCCTGGCCTTGGCTGAGGGAGGCCGGTGTGCAGGCAATGTCTCCTCTCTCCAGTGCAAAGAAGAGTTGGCAGACCAGGTCCAGAAGTCTTGGGTTAGGCCATCAGGCATGGCTTTCAACTCTGTGGCCCTCAGATGAATCTTCCATGAGCAAGTGTCCCAGAGGGCGAGCCTGGACCCAGGCTGCATGGCGATGCTACCAGAAGGAAATGCCCTGCCCTGGTCCTCAGCTGCCAGCTTTTCCTCTAGACTTCTGCCCCTCCTGCCTTTCTTCCTCCTATACCTGAGCCCAAACTTATCTGTCCCATGTCCCATCCTGGTGAGAATCTGCTCATTATTTTCCCAAATGACAACTGCATCTCCATGGTCCCAGGTACTGATGTCCTCCTAAGATCTAGTTTTGGCCTTTCCAAGAAGTGTGGACAGCAGGATAAAGAAGAGGATGTCCTGAGCCAGGTCAGCAGGTGAGAGGGGGGAGGGAGCGCATCCCAGGCTGCTCCAAGGGCAGTCACCTCCCCTGTCTTGCTCTCCAGAGCCTCTGAGGCAGCTACCTGCAAACCCTGTGCCACCATGCCAGGTAAGTGGGGGCTCCCTGGAGCAAGGATCTGGGCCCAGGACACTCAGCCGAGCCAGCACATGCTGGTCTGTCCTCAAGGTGCATGGCACCAACCGTTCATCTGGATGACAAGGTCCCCCTTCCCCAGTGAGGGAGAGTTGGCACACCTTCATCTCCTAGGGCCCACATGTCCTCGCCCAGTGTTATGTCACAATCCTGTAGTGAGAGGAAAAGAGCTCTGCCCCATCCATGGAAGGGGAGTTTCAAAAAGCTACCTGGTAACTCTGCATGACTCTCTCCCTCCTACCCACACTGAGTTATCATCATCATCATCATCATCATCACCACCGCCATCACTTTCACTTAGTAAAGGCCAGGTTCTGTGTGTGGAGCCTGCTTTATTACATCATCCTTACTCTGGCTCTGAGAAGTAGGTATCATGGTCCCTATTTTATAGATGGAGAAACTGAGGACCAGAGAAGTCACTAACTTGTCTAAAACCACACACAGCTCCTTTGAAGCAGGAGAGAGAAACAGGAGGCCCAAGATATCACTCTGTGCCCTGCACAACTGCCCAGGACGGAGGAGCTAGAGCGGGGAAAGGCTGGTGAGGTGGCCATCACAGGCCACTCCATAACATGCCACTGAGCCCAGAACATGGAGTCTGCCGCCTGGAGCAAGAGAAGAGTGGAGCTCGGTGGGAGTCGGCCTGCAGAGCTGCAGGAAAACCCCCGTAGAACCAGCTGCAGATCTTCTTTCCCTCCACTCCACCCTCATGGAGACTTTTCCTCCAGGCCAGCCTGTTCTGCTGGAAAAACAATCTCCCCTGCCTGGGGACCCGGGCGGCTGGGCTACCTTCTGGTCTGTCTTCATTCAGATCCATTTCTCTCCTCCCTGGAGCTGGGGGAGGGAGTCATGCTGGGGGAGGCACGGGTGGGGCTGAAGACTTCATCTGTCCCCCTTTAAGCCAAGCAAAGAAAAATAGGCTTTTGCCAGGATCTTTCATCTCAGTCATTTACTCTCGCAGATGTTTTCTGCAATATAAACAAGAAGCAAGGAATGTCGGGGAGGAAAGGAGGACGGGAGGCGGGCAGGAGGGAAGGAGAAGAATCAACAGCTTTGAAACCTGGGCCTGCAGAGGGCAGGAAACAGGACCTCAGCAGGGGCCCTGCTGCCCTGAGAGCATGGGCAAACCCGAGGTCACTGCACCAGGCCTAGCAGAGGGCGGCTGCTGGGGGTGTCTTTGAAAGAAGGCTCTGGAGAAGTGGGCCAGTGAGTGGTCACCCCAAACAGGCTCCCCCTGCCTGGGAACCTGCCCATGGGGAGACACTGCTGGGGTCTCGGCTTACCTGGAATGGCACCTGGCTGGGGCACACCCTTGCCCACCTTAGCACACCCCGAAGGCTGTTCTGGACTTCAGAACTCTGTCCACTGCCCAGATCTGCCAGCAAGACCAGTGGGAGGTGTGGCACCCACAGTGGCAATAAGGATTTGGTCATAGAGGGAGGAGGAAGAATCCTGAGCTGGGTGCTGGAGGGCAGGAGAAGCAGATCACACAGTGGGTCAAGAGCTAACCAGGAAGGCAGATGGCTCCCAGTTCCACATTTTGTGGGATTCCTATTGGTGTCAACAGCTAATAAGCCTGGGGTTGCAAACTCAAATGCCTCTGGGGACTGACCAGGAGCTCAAAGGAGTGACCCTGAAAGGGGACAGTATGAAGAAGAAAAGGCAGACCCATCTAGAAGGGTGGCCACCACTCAGCTTCGCACTACGAAAGATTCAAGAGAGCCCAGACATCCACAGCTGTGTATAAAGCTCCTGTTTTATTTTTGTTGTTGTTGTTGCTTTTCTTTTGGGGGGATACCGGAGACTGAACTCTGGGGCACTCAACCACTGAGCCACATCCCAGCCCTATTTTGTATTTTATTTAGAGACAGGGTCTCACTGTGTTGCTTAGCGCCTCGATCTGGCTGAGACTGGCTTTGAACTGGGGATCCTCCTCCCTCAGCCTCCTGAGCCGCTGGGATTAAAGGCATATGCTACCACACCCAGCAAAACTCCTCTTTTTATCAATATCAGAAACATTATGTTGGCCACACGAAGAGTAGCTGTGAGCGGATTTTAGTTTATGAATCAATATTTGCAAAAAAGTTGGTTGTGTGAATAAATTCTGTTTTCCTTGCCCTGATCTCAACTTCACAAAAGGAATCATGAGAAGAAGGTTGAAAAAGAATCAACAGGGGCTGGGATTGTGGCTCAGTGGTAGAGCGCTCACCTGTCACGGGTGGGACCCGGGTTCGATCCTCAGCACCACATAAAAATAAAAGCCTTGTGTTGTGTCCATCTACACCTAAAAAGAAAAAAAGAAACAGCAAACTATCTCCCCACAATGGAGCTGGATATTCAGATGGATTCAGAGAATCAGAGCCGGGTCCCAGCCCTCAAGGATGTACGCTGTAGCTGAGAGAATTGAGACCCAGCCTTGACACTGGCACAGGATGTTGAGGGGAAGGGGAAGAGGAAGCCAGGCAGTGCTTCCCACCGGAAGTGGTGTTTGGGCTGAACCTTGAAAAGTGGATAGGAAGAGCTGCTTGTTGCAGGCTGGTCGTGAATTCTAAAACTGGGAGACTTCTCAGGACACTGAGATCTCTGCAAAACTAGGACCTGGGACCCCTGCCTGCTGAGAAAGAGGGCCCACCCTACTCTTGCCACCAGCCTTCCCTCACTCGCTCGCACCCACTGCCACGAATTGTACGTAGGGTCTCTAAGAAGCCATCACTTAGGGTCTCCAAGAGAAAGTTAGTGAATGGGTGGCACAGGCAGAGTGGCAGACCGTGTTGGAGGGCAGCCATTCAGGAAGGAGTGACAAAGTGTTCCTGATGGTCAGCAGCCTCATGTTTCACATAAGGGCCCATGAGGATTGCTGGTGCCCAGGATTTCCTAGAAATGCCCCAAATACTGAGCTCCTTGCAAAGAAAAGATTGGGAAGGGAACCAACTCTGGGTTAGCCCCGGCTTAAAGTTCATGTATTTCTTACAATCTGCTGCATGGCAGTAATAATTATTCCTGCCTCAGAGAACAGGAGATAGACCAGAGCAGTGAGTTCCATGAGGACAGGACGCCCCACTGACGGCACAGGGCCTGCACCTCAGAGCAGATGATGCTGAATGTCAGGGGCTCATCTGGGGTCGTGTAGCCAGAAGTGGCCGAGAGAAGACGCAAACCCAGATCTGCCTGGCCCCAAGGCCCACACTCTTCCACTATGCAAAGATTCCCAGAGGTCACTCATAGAGGAAGGTCCTGCCCTGAGTGCCTAATGACCCAAGTGTTGAAGACTGGCGACTGGGCGTGCTCCATACCCCTTGCCACGGCTGATGGATCCATAGAGAAGGCGGTGCAGTGTGCAAACGTTACTCGTGCGGCCTGCCTTTGGGAATGATGGGATCCTCTGAGGCCGTGTGGCCCTCTTATTCATTCGATGCTGCTGGGTACCTCCAGGAAGAGCAGGCCCAGCTCTGCACATGCCACTGTGACCGCCCACGGGACAATCTCCACCCAGCCTCCCTTTAGCTGTCACCCACTGGTCTTTATTTCTGCTCGATGGACAAGGCTCTTCTTCATAACCATTTTTCACATACTCAAAGACCAGCCTTTGCCCTCTCTCTTATTTGTCTCTTCTGCGTTTCCTTCACCTGTTCCCAGGTGACACACTCTCAGATCTCCTCAATATCCCCATGCCTCTCTCCAAACGGAGGTGCAGTTTCTTTCTGCTGCTTCTTCAGAAGTGACACGGTAGCATCCCAGGTGGAACAGACAAGCGAAGAGTCCAACAGGAAGACAGACTTTCCTCATCCTCAAAGCTCTCTGTCAGTTAATGTCACCTCAAATTGTTCTTCAATCAATGTCACCTAAATCTCACCAATTTTCTTGGTAATCATGGGCTGACTCACATCACATCTACCATCAGTACAGGCCCCCAAGTCTTTCACATCTCCTCCATCCTGAACGTGTAGAGCTCCGTGCGATTCAGCCCCAAGGTCCCGACATTATTTCACTGTGTCACATTTAGCCCCCATTAGTCCAATCATCGTCACCGTTAGGGATTCCAATTCTGATAGCTAAGGTATGAGAATTCTCCTGCTAACAGCCAGTAGCTAAGCCTGATCTCTGATGGTTCTTCACAGTTTCTGGTTGAAGTACTGAAAGGAAAGGACCGTGAGAAAGCTACAGAATGTTGATGGGATCCTCTGCCCAGGTGGGACATCGTTTGTCAGCAACTTTAAGGACAGTCACTTAGCACCTCCCCAGCCACTCCACTTAGGCTGTCTTCCAGCTCTCCTTGATCTCATCAGTGCCATCAGGTGCCTGAGCTATTGCCTAATGCCATGCTATGGCCCCCAACGTAGGCATCCCATCCATTCCCTTAACAACATGCATCTGGTAGTCGCCTCTTTTCTTGGTGAATCCATGCTTATTCCTAACGATCAGCACTTTCTTTCCTAGGCCTTCAGAAGTCCTTCCTTTATCTGTAGATGAAAAGCTCACCCCTGAACCCAAAGTCCAAGCCCTTGGACAACTGGACTTGTTAATTCATTATTCTTGGCATGCCCACTTCTCCTCCAGATCCCCTCTCCATCCTTCTCCCTCCTGCACTGTACCCAGGAGACTGACCTGGACTCCATTACTGGGCACCTTTGTCCTCTGGTCTCATTTGGGTTCAGCCAGTGGGGAACACCAAGACATGGCAGGTAGGACAAAGTCAAAGTCAAGAAATGTATTCTCTTGGACCCCTCCTTGACTGTCTCTCAATGGCCCCTTCATCTAAGTCATGGGCCCTGTTGGGTGGCTGTCTCCTGCATACTTTCTCTCATGCCTCTTTGTACCCTCAGGGTCCTCACCCCTGCTGACCCTAGAGGACCTTATCATGCTTTGTTAGCTTTGTTTAACCTTGCCCATATCTTGTAAGTGATTCAATTTCTAAATTCTGCTCAGTCACCCCCATTTAAGTGTGCCATCTCTTTCCTGCCAGGATGCTGACTGGTGCACTCATATTTTGAGTCATGCTTCCTAAAGACAAGCCCCAGCTGTGCTCAGGTGTGGGAGGGAGTGGAGGTATTGGTGAAAACAGTGCAGAGTTTAAGTGCACAGGATCTGTGGTCTCACTGAGCAAGAGTGAATTCATTCCCATCGGTGCTCTAGCTGGGGCCATTGAAGTTCTCTGAAACTCTGCTTTCTCTTCCATAAAATCAATGCAGTAACTCCCCCTCACAAGTTCTTCATCAGGATTTGATGAGATTATATTTGCAAAACACTAATTGGCATCAGGTGTATTGTACATCCTTAATAAATGTAAATTATCGATTTTTATTAAGAAAAAAATCTAACTATTGAGGGTATTGCTTTAGTGTTAGAATATGCTAGCAAGAAGCTACAAGGTCTGACTCTATGGCTACCAGGTAATCTGCCCATCAGATAATCTGCCCCATCCTACAGGAGAAAGAAAAAAATAAATGTTGTTGTTATTATTATGTTAGCTAGAGAAGAAGTCTATTCTATTACTTATTTTTTTAAAAAAAATTTTTTAACAATGAATACTTTTAGGAGGCTGTTCTTACATTCTACCTGATGTCCCTTTCCTATTGATTTTCTATTGGTCTTAAAAGTCACCCAGCCTCACAGCTGTGCATGATGCCTACTTGTTTAAACTAAGAAAAAATGGCACCCTTCAGCCTGCCCTAACAGAGCTCCTCCCACTCCTCCTTCCTCCAGATGATGTTCTTACCAAAATAAGGTTCAGAACAGAGTCTCTTAACTTGGTCCAAAAGCTAAATCTGAAAGAGGTCAAAGATTCTCTGGTCAGTCACATTTCACCCAACTATTTTTAGCTGGGGTAAGGCGAAACAAGATTCCCCAAAGATCTGGGTCCTGTCAAAGTTGGAAATTGTGCCAAGATGGAGGAATACAGCTATCTGTGTTGGAAAAGAAAAAACAGTTCCTTCCCTCCTTCATAGCCGCAGGATGGCTGTTGGCTGCCAATGAATCTACCTGCTCTGTCTTGCTTGCGTTCGATCACATTGGGTTCGTCCACTTATCTGCTATTTGTCCCCACCTTTACTACTGAGCTTGTCTACTGAATGATCAATGTGTTGACCATCCCCTGGTCCATCTCATGTCATACTATCCTCCATCTCCTGTGTCAGAAGCTTGGCAGATCGTTGGATTTCTGTCCTAATAGAAATGCACTGCAAAGCATCATGGGTTCTCCATCTGGACAAACTCCTTTCCCAGCCTCTTCTGCCAGTGCCCCTACTCCTATTTCTCTCTCCTCAGAGCACAAACTTTGCCATGCTCTTCTGTCCTTTTGCTCCTTTCTTCCTCACGTCGCCCTACCAAGTAGCAGTCTTCATGCCTGGAGACATCTGCCCTTCCCCATTCTCCTTCATGACCCTCCACTCTCTGACCTCTGTTGCCAGAATCCCTTGAATTAGAAAACCGGAGATATTTCCATGACTTTTAAGGCTGTATTGACAAAACAGCAAAGAAAAGGGAAGAGGGACCAAGCTCAGAGTTTCTGCCTGACCCCGAACTGCCGGCCGCTGAGGGCAATGCCATGGGAAGGTGACCTCCCCGAGTCCCAGGACCATCCCAATGGGCTGACACAATTGGCCACTCAATGGCCAGCTCTTCTGCTGCTCTGCTCCTCTGGCAGGACAACCCGGGGCAGATGGAAAGTGAGTTGCAAGTTCAAAGATGTGGATAGAGCATCGTTCAGTGATTTATGGCCTAGGTCATGCTTTCCAAAGCTGTATAAAAAGAGTTATTCCTGGCCGA